GAACAAAGTTCTGAGGCATAGGGAAACTACGAAGCTCCCTAGAGAAAGGGGGGTTTTCATCATCATCGTTAAGCTCGTAGGACTAACCCGACTTGTCAGAATAGTTCCCATTCGTTAAAGGACGAGGTGGTTGTTGGGAAGTTTCGCCTCGATTCCCCCAATCAACTAGATTTTACCTCTATCACCTATTCCTAGGTGGAGGGGCCTGAACTTCCTGGATTTGTACATGCTCTTGTGGGCGAGTTGTTTGATGGGCGGACTGATCCTTATTTCTAGGCATTCGCCCGATTCAATCAAACAAACTGGTGAACCTTTGAGGCCACTCTTCATAGTCAGGGGGGAAGTTATCGCTCCTAACTTGGTCGCCTTCACATGGCGGACAGTGTAGGAGGTGTCTACTACCATTTCCCTTTCAACTGGAACTTTTCGTTGTTGACCTGAGTGCATTCTCCTGCTTAATTTGGCTTCAGTTCTTCTAACTGATTATGGGAGATATTGGTGGACCTGGAAGCCACCCTGATTTTATACTTGCATGAGGAGTTCTTGTATGGTTGTGTTTTAGGCTGCGATATTCCTTATGTTAGTGGCCATACGAGCCATTTCGGCAGTTAGTCGTGCAGCATTCCTCCCATCCCTGTGGTATCGATGATGGGGCCTTTGGTTAGTGACATTATTTCGAATGGTCTCTTCTTCAGAGATCTCTCTTGTTCTCTTCGGGTTCACTTCTTCATCGTTTGAACTCATTAGCTCGGAGTTGTCAGTCTTCTTTCGAATGGCGAAGACAGTTCACAGCTTGTTTTCAAGAACCAATTCCCTTTTCAAGGAAGGAATATCAACCAATATTTCAATAAGCTTTTTCTTTCATGGGGATACTCGTGGTTACAGTAACGTTACCATATATGGCGCCAATCTGTTGTCCTCGAAAAGTGGTTCGACATATGGCCAACAAAATGAAACTTCACATAAGCTTCTCTCTACGCACGGTAGCACACCGTTAGTAACTCGTGGCCTTCTCTGGTTGGGGTGGAAGCGGCTGTGAGCACTCCAATGGTCAAGTCAGTATTTCGTTCAACCGGAAGATGGAGCTTGACGATGAAGTGGTCACTGGGACGTGGTTGAGAATATGGTAAATATCTTGAGAGGCTCTTTAGAGATAAAAGTCTAGAATGAAAATATTAGAATTGGAATCCCTTACTCTTACCAGTATGGGGATATTTATACTAAGAATGGGAAGATGTGGACCGTTAGATGAAGAGACATGTGGCTTTAGATCCCGTATGAGTCATCCTATCATAGGCGTCAATCCGTCAGTCCGTAGGTTGGCGGACATTAAATGGTTTCTGACATATCAGTTGAGTTAACTGTTTGTAGCCTGCCACGCGTCCCATTATTCAGTCAGGGACTTGACTTTGGATATATCTTCTCACAAAAGATCTTGGTAAAGGTGTGGCATGGCAAATTGTGAGTCGTAATGAATGTAAGGTGTGGGCCTTTGTACCCACTGTGAATGGCGGATGAATTTGGCCAACACGTGGCGGATGAGGTGGATGGATAAGGTAGAGGGCCTTAGAAGGCCCGTAATAGTTCTCGTCCTCACTTCGTTCAACTTAAGTTCCTTCTCCTTTCTCATTTTGTCCTTCATTCTTGATTCATTATAATTAGGTCTTCAACATTCTTCAATTATCTGAAATAGATCTGATGAAAGTTTTAAGAGTTTGCAATTAATTCCTTAAACTTTTTAAATATAGAATTTAGCTTCCTAAACTTATGAATTCACTTCCGGTTTCTCTCATAAGTCTTCTAATTGATCAACTACAATTTGCTTATTCATTTTTAGATATTCTAAAATATAGAAATGGGGCCCACTCTACCCAATTAACCCTTAACCCTACCTCACCCAGCCTACCCCCTCTCCCCACAACCCCTCTCTGTATAATCATATGTACGCAGGGACGGAGCCAAAAAATTCGTTCAATACGGACACATCGATAACCATAGCTAATTAAATTTTAAAAATGACCAAAAATATGTTGGAATTTGTAACTGATACTTCAATAAAAGATTAGCTAATACAAAACTTTCTGAAGTCTAGCGTAGCCTCCACTTCTGAAAAAAGGGTATCCACTACTTGAGGAATTATACCATTTTGATACTCTTCTTCCCTATAATCTGTACCCATAGTGTAGGACTTTCGTGACCCAGTCTAAGACACAATAACCAATTACAATATATAAGTTTACTTGTTAACTTAAACTTTCAAGTGCAACTTATGGGTGGAAATAATACTAGAAGTGATAATAATGCATATTTTCACCCCAAACTCCAAGACATCCTCTCATGAATGAATTCTTCCAGCAATGACGTAGTAATATCGAGCTTTAGAATAGCCCTAAAAAGGAGGTATATTCAGCATCTCAGTAGTCAAAATCCCATAACCCTTTACAAACATAAAATAACCAATCCCAGAAACTATAGAAAATTCTCTCTCCTTCATAGTAAAAGGTCAGGCCATTGAATTTCCCAAGTGCTTCCTTTATAAGGTCCCTTAGCAAATTTAACTGAAAATTCCAAGTATAATCCTTTATCATTCCAATCGAGAATTGATGTACACACCTTGAGCTCTACGAATCTCTTTGGACTCGGTGACTAGATCATCGACGGCTAAAAGGGTTCTGAAGTGTAAGATGCTTGTTGTCTACCCATTTTCTCAGGCTACGGTGTCAATGGAGGGTTCATAGTCGAGCAAGATCCGTAAACGAGGGAGATGAAAGGCAGGCTTTAAATTTGGAGAATTAGGCCGGGTGTTATAATTTTTATATTGGGTTTCAAATATTTCGATTGAACTGAATCAATTGGAAAGCCCAAGACTTTAAAAAAAATGAATGATCCCAAAGTTCAGTTTAGTTCAGGTTGTGCCTGCACTGGACTCTATTGAACTCTGCCCCTGTATGTACGTATTTATGCACTATACATATCCACAATTTCACACAATCCATTAAAATTTTATTTAATACTTTTAAATCTTCACTTCATTTTAAGTTCAAGCATTATTGAGTATCTAGGTTCCACTTCCATAAGTATTTTGTTTTACTCCATCATTTTCTTGGATAAGTGAAGAATTTCTTTTGTTGTAAAAACATGTTGCTCAAGAACATAAATTTGATTCAAGAAAGAAAGTTCCACCTTGATAAACTTTTTCTCTCTTTTAAAGAAACAGAAAAACAACTGGCAAACCAGAAAAAAGAATGAAAAAACACCAAAAAAATATATAGGGAGGTCTTAAATTTTGTCCAAATCCCCCTCAATCTCCTTATATTCCAAAAATTTCTCATAGAATTGTAATTATATTTTTATCTTATAGTTTACAATTTTTTTATTTTTGAGGTGCCATCGAATGTCCGAACAATGTAATCTAGATCGAAAATTCAAATGGATCCTATCAAGCTCCAATAAAGCTCGACCTGACCCACTTTGCAGACCTAATAGCAAAACTCCAAATCCAGTTTGAGAACTTTACTCTCTTTCTCTTTGCGAACTTGTGTGCATGCAGAGACCGATTTAGGGGGAGCCTAGTCCAGTCCTTGCCCCCCATTTTTTAGTGTAATTTTTTTTCCTACGTATTAGCCTGGCTTATAGTCCGATCCTAAATCCGTCCTCGTGTGCATGTATAATGAGATTAACAAGTTCATCTCACTTAATCAGGTTTTTTCTTCCTAAACTCAATTATTTTATGCATAAACAAGAGTAAAAAGAAAAATTATTATTTATAAGGAGGAGGATATTTAGATTTGCATGCCTTTCTTTGTTCCCCGACAATGCTAATTTATAGATTTCTAGTGAAGTAAGACATAATTAAGACTTTTCTATTAATGACACATGACAATTATTGAATAGCGAACTTCTAATTGAATGTGTTAGCTTTTCACGTTTTATTCCTTAGTCCTCGTGTTCTTCATTCATTGATTGTGAAGCCATGCTTTATATACTTATTTACGTGTGTTTTGATAACGATTTTTGTTGATATGGAATAGCTAGTGAAATCGATTAAGAACAAAGCTACATGTACAACACACGTGTTACAACATCTCACAAAGGAGGTGGGCCCCGCGATTAAAATAATAGTGGACCCCACCTCTCTTGTGAGAGGTTGTAACCTAATATTTTTACCCAACATTGTACAATGAGCATTATTCATCGATTAAAGATATATTTGCTTGCTCCCTATACCCAAGAATGATTATAAGGTTTTGTATTATTCTCGCTAACCTTTTCGTGATCTCGTACATGTTTTGATCCACTCTAAAAAATATTTGTAGATAGAGGCATAGGGTCGCAATTGATTCTTTATATATTTTAATCGACAATAGCGCATACATAAGAGAGAGAGGTGGGATTAGGGGCGGGCAATGGGTCGGGTCGGATCGGGTTTGGCCCAAAACCGACCAGACCTGATATATCCGGTTTTGGGCTCCTACCCTAAACCGACCCGACCAAATCCTACCCTAAACCGAACCAACTCGAATCGAGTTGGGTTTACTAGTGTAAGAAGTAGAATTACCCGTTGGGGATGAGTCTGCCAAACCCAAGAAATAACCCAAGTAGAAGAAACCCGCTGCACCCAAAAAACTTAATTCTCCATCTCATCCTCCTTACTTTGAGGTATTGAATTACAATTCAATTTTGTTTGATTTTCACTGGTTGGTTATTTTATGAAATTGGATCTGAAATTTTGGTGGAATTTGTGTATATGCAGATGATCCAAGAGGCAATTGTGTCATTGAAGGAGAAGAATCTGCTGTCTAACACATCAACCGTAGTCATCTGCAGAAAGTTAGGGAAAAAATCATACAAAATGAAACAAACTCCCAGATCTCTACCAATTACTCCAATAGCTTAAGCAATCAACAAAATCCTCCATGTCCTCACTTCCCAAAGAAAAAAAATCCCAAGATAAGTGGAAACAAAATAAAAAACCACCTACCTGATTCAAAGTTAGGGTCATGGTTTTATCGTTGCAAATAGTTGTTGCCGAGCCCATGGTTTTAGATGGTGGCTCCGACGGCAAGGCAAAGAAGGCTCCTACAAAGAAGGGGAAGAAGTGAGAATGAGAGAGAGGGTTACCCTTGCAAATGCCAGGGTTTTGAAGTGGCGGGCGGGTTGGCTCGGTTTGTGAGGATCCAACCCGACCTACAATCATTTTAAATTTAATTTACCAGACCCGACCGGGATTTATTCCTAACCGACCCGACTCGACCTGTTTCGGGTCGGGTCGGGTCGGGTCGGTTTTCGGGTTGTGGTTTTCAAGCCAAGACCTAGGTGGGATAGAGATGGAGAAGGAAGTATTTAGATGGAGTAGGGCCCATTTCTAAATCTAGGCACTTAGGTTGTTAATTTTAGTAGAGGGAACTATTCCTGTATTGTATTATTACTATATTCAATAATGAAAAATAAAATATTAAATAACTATATAAAAGCGTCCCACTATTACAATATCCTAATTTCTTTTATAGAGGTAATTCAACAACTGCATAAAGAAATAGGCAAATGAAGTCAATTCCTTGTAGATGTAGTTTTAAGAAAACGAGACAGATGAACATATAAAAAATTTAAAAATTAAAATTATATAAAACTTCATAATAACTACATTGTAAAGTCAAATAACGTGGTCACGTGAGCTCCGGTCAACACGGCGTGGTTCAATTTTATAAAAATGATTTCTTCTCTTAAAATTCTCACCTAGGTTCCCGTCTTTTTTTTTTTTGTTGCAATTTAGTGCATGTAAGGATAAATGGACGTAATCACTAGAAGAATGTTGAGCTTGGGTCGTGGATTGATAGAAATACACTTAAAAGAATGGGTGTCCTTACATGCATGCAACAAAAAGAAAAATAGTTTGGGGACTTAAATGTGAAAAAATAAATGGATCCCAACCCATGTGAGAAGTGATAATGTTTGGGAACTGTGGAAGAACTCCACACGTTATTTATACTGATTTCTTGAATCAGATTTCTCAATCTATTATTCTTGAATCCTCTAACTTTAGAAATTCAAAGCAATATTATTTTGTTTCATTATTGCATTAGGCTCAACTTGGAAGGGCAAGTGCTGATAACCATGACGGTCAAGAATGTAAGCAAGAAGTTTATAAAATCGTTCATGAATGTGACTAGCAGGAAGTCGATTAAACCAATCACACCGACTCCCCACAATCTCAGGACACACAAGTTATCCTTCATAGATGAGGTCATTCCGACTATGAATGCAGCTACCATTCTCTATTATCCATTTAATGATAATATTAGACGCGTAATCAACTTGGAGAACTCACTGGCACGAGTCTTGCCCAAATTTTACCCTTTTGCTGGAAGATACATCAAAGAGAATCAGTTGGTTGACTGTGGTGATCAGGGCGCTGAGTTCGTAGAAGCTCAAGTGGATTGCAAGCCTCATGAAATTATTGGGTCCGACGATCTGAATGATCTCCTTCCAGTGGAAGTTGGTGCTGCTGACGATGTCACTGACCCTATTATGTCCATTCAAATAAACAAATTTAAATGCGGTGGTGTAGCCATTGCTACCTGCATTTCACATAGGATTGCTGATGCAGCTACACTAGATATCTTCTTATCTGCGTGGGCAAAGGCCAGTCGAGGAGACAATGGTGAACCCATTACCCCAAATTTCGATTCCTCATTATACTTTCCAGGTCAGAATGTAGGTACTCCTGATTTTGGAATTATGAGGACTAGGAATCCTACCGTTGTAACCAAGAGGATTTTGTTCGATAGCTTGGCGATTGCAACTCTAAGAGAGAGTTAGCCACTTGTATGAAAACAGAGAACGTCCAGCCTCGAGGGTGCAGCTGCTAACTGTTAGAAATGTCACACAAATCACAACAGAAATGATGAGGATTACACTAGAAAATCTTAGAATGATAAGATTGTCAAATTCAAATCAAAAGATAGAAGTTGTTAAATTGTTATTTGATATTTGTTATCTATTCTTTGGATAGACATTAGTCACAAAATAGTGGAAAGTTTGTATTTTTATTTTATTATAAATAGAAACAAATGTGTACTAAGTGCTAATGGCCTATGGTCATCATTCAATAATGTTATAATCTACCTTTGATTTATTTTTCTGCTTCGTTTCCGTATTTTTCTTCTTGGTATCAGAGCCATTGTGAGCACTTGGCATACTACAAGTCATTTCTTCCACTATCACTTTACTATCAGCAAATATTGACAACTTCTTTACACTCGACTATATCTCATTGATTCTCGTCCATCAAATACATCCCACCAAATCCAAACAAATTAAATACATCCTACCAAATCCAAACAAAACAACAAAAGCAGCAAATTTCATACCAAAATTGACAAATGTGTTACAGGTGGATCATTTCACCAATGAAGACATTGTCCACATCAAATACATCACATCCAAACAATACAAAAACAACATATCTTCGTAAGAATGAAGATAAAAACAATTGCTGGCTTCTTCACCAAATCAATGTCCATGGCAACAATACAAAAACAACATATCTTCGCAAGAATGAAGATAAAAATCATTGCTGGCTTCTTCACCAAATCAATGTCCATGGCAGCTCTCAATTTTTTCAAAACAAACTATGCCTTCAACCCCAGCACAATTTGCGGGAGGATGTTAGAAATGTCACACAAATCACAACAAAAATGATGAGGATGACATTAGAAAATCTTAGAATGATAAGATTGTCAAATTCAAATCAAAGGATAGAAGTTGTTAAATTGTTATTTGATATTTGTTATCTATTCTTTGGATAGACATTAGTCACAAAATAGTGGAAAGTTGGTATTCTTATTTTATTATAAATAGGAACAAATGTGTACTAAGTGCTAATGGTCTATGGTCATCATTCAATAATGTTATAATCTGCCTTTGATTTATTTTTCCGCTTCGTTTCCGTATTTTCCTCTGTCACTTCCTTTTTAACGGAGGCTCTTTCACGATCTGATGGTGAAAAATATGGGAAACCTTGGGGTTGCTTTGTAATACAAGTGGTTAACATTCGAGAAAGAACAGTTCCTCCTCTGTCGAAATTCACATGCGGAAACTTAATGACAGTAGCAACTCTTGAACGAAGTGCAGATGAAACAAAAGCATGGACTTTGAACACTACGTTCCTTTACTGGATAACACTGTCAAGAAGACCGTTTCGTGTTAACTGAATTAACAGATTCTATCCTAGTCAGCTCCAGCATCACCATTTGTGACTCCAGCATCACCATCTGTGACCACAGCTATCCATTTCATCAGCTGACTTAGCCTTGCGGTTGAATCAGTTTGTAGTGCCTGTAGTCCTTCACTATTTGTTGTAAATATTCTTGACATGATCCACTATTTTAGGAACCAATTCACAGCTGTGAAATTCTAGAATCTTCCTTGTAAATTTCTCCTTCACTATACAATACTCATGACCTCAACATTGAAGGTCATGGTTGATATTACAAATTAATCATATTCTAAAATCAACTTGGTATTAGAGCCATTTCAAAATGGTAAACGCCAGCAACTTCAATACACCTCAAAATGCTGATCACATTTCAATACCAGTCTCAGCCAGCAGCAGCACAGCTACTCCTCTGATGAGTAACAGCATTACCACACCTTTTAGGGTTAATCTCACACAAGTTATTTCGATCAAGTTGGACAAAAATAAATTTCTACTGTGGAAGAACATGATTCTACCTATTATACGAGGACATAACCTTGAAGGTTATATCTTAGGGACAAAGATGTGTCCCCAAGAACTCATCAGTTGCCAGCTTACAAGTGATGCTGGCATCAATGTTGAAATGGTGAAGAATCCAGAGTTTAGCCAATGGTCATCTACAGATCAGCTACTCATGGGTTGGCTCTTCTCCTCAATGACCCCTGACATTGCAATGAGAGTCATGGGGGCAACATACTCAAAGCAACTATGGACTGCCATCGAAGAGAGTTTTGGAGTACAGAATAAGTCTAGAATCATTTTTCTCATTGGTGAATTACAGAAATTAAGAAAAGGTTCAATGAATGTCCACCAGTATCTGAACAAGGTAAAGCAAGTGGCTGATAACCTTGAAATCGCTGAAAAAACCATAGCTCATACTGACTTAGTCACACAAGTCTTGGCTGGTCTAGATGAAGACTACACTCCTATCGTAGTCCAGATCAACGGCAGAGATAAAATATCCTGGGGAGAATTGCAGTCTACACTCATGACCTATGAGAATAGGCTGGAACACCTTAACTCACTGAGGAATAACTTTACAGAAATCAACATTAACCAAGCCTCGGCAAACCTCTCTCAGAGGTCTGGTTCCAACTATCATAGTTCGAAATCCTATAGATCAGGCTATGGTGGAAGATTTAACAACTTCAGCAACTATCGAGGTGGAAGAAGAGGCAGAAACAGAGGTGGCTATTTATATGGTAGTGGCAATGACAGACCAATCTGCCAAGTATGTGGAAAGATTGGCCACAAAGCCAATATATGTAACTTCAGGTTTGACAATAGATACACTGGTACTCCACCAAGTCAAGGGACAGGTTACAATGCCTCACCTACAGCATACATCGCATCTCCCAACATAGTGAATGACCCTGCATGGTATGTTGATACTGGAGCCAGCAGCCACATCACATCAGACAAAGGAAACCTCTCTTCCATCAACGAATATTCTGGTAAGGAGAAAATTATGGTAGGAGATGGAGGTAAATTGCACATCTCTTATTTTGGCACTTCACACATTCCAACTTTGAACAACAAGTCTTTAATCTTGAATAAACTTCTTCATGTTCTAGAGATTAAGAAAAACCTTATAAGTGTCTCTAAATTGACTTTTGACAATGATATTTATATGGAGTTTCACCCTGAATGTTGTTTTGTTAAGGACAAGTCAACGGGGGTAGTGATAATGCGAGGGATACTTAAAGATGGGTTGTATCAGCTAGAGTTCCCTCAGCAATTCATCAAAAATTCTAGCCTAGAGTCAGACTTCACACAAAATCCTACTTGCAACCTGTCATCTGCTATTTCTCATAAATCCTCTGTTTTAACTTCTGATGTATGGCACAAAAGGCTTGGCCATCCTTCTAGCCAAGTGATGAACTTAGTACTCAAAGTCTGTAATGTTAAAATTAAAGAAAGTGAAATCAAATCATTTTGCAATACGTGTCAGCTTGGTAAATCTCATCTGTTGCCGTTTCCTTTATCCTCTTCTCATCGTAAGGCACCACTTGAACTTTTGTTTACAGATATATGGGGTCAAGCTCCCATCCTATCCACTCCAGGCTTTAGATATTATATATCTTTCCTCGATGATTTTAGTAGATATACCTGGATCTATCCATTGAAACAACAATCTAAAGCTCTAAACACCTTCATTCGTTTCAAGAAACTCATTGAAAACAAGCTGAACTGCAAGATAAAAACTCTACAATCCGACTAGAGTATAGGACTTTCTCCAAATTTTTGAACCAAGAAAGGGTTGATTTCAGGCACCCTTGTCCATATTCTTCTGCTCAAAATGGTAGGGTAGAGAGGAAACATAGACATATCACAGAAACAGGTTTAACACTGCTCGCCAAAGCTAACTTACCTCTGAAATACTGGTGGGAAGCCTTCCAGACAGCAACTTACCTCATCAATAGGCTACCAACACCTACACTCCAAAACCAATCACCTCAAGAAACTCTATACAAAAGCAAACCAGATTATCAAACCTTAAAGATATTTGGGTATGCCTGCTACCCATGCCCCTCTATCAAAATCAGAAATTCAGTTTTCACTCAACCAAATGCACTTTCATAGGTTATAGTGAATCTCATAAGGGATACAAATGTCTAAGTGACACTGGAAGACTGTACATCTCTAGGCACGTAATCTTTAATGAATTAGAATTCCCTTTCAAAGATAAAATAGTCACCAGAGTCATTTAGAACCTACAACTTCAGAAATCACAGCCTCTTATTTTCCTCTTCCTTCAAGTCACAATGTACCGCCAGAAATCCTGCTGATACTACTCATCTTGAAGTAACTCAAGTTGTTCATCACTCACTCTCTGACTTAAATGATAATCAGCACAATGCCTTTGACAACACTGAAAGAACTGATGAAGATGAACTTGGAGTGTCAGAACAAAATCAGTCACAGGCTGAATCTCCACAACCAGGTGATAATGCTGATATATCACCTCAACATAGAATAGATAATATGGTTGAGTACCCCATGGTTACACGAGGAAAAGCAGGGATATTCAAACCAAAAGTTTATCTTGGGAAACTGACTGAGCCTATGAATGTGATTGAAGCCATGATGAATACCAACTGGAAGAAGGCAATCGAGGAAGAATTTGATGCTCTAACAAGGGCTAAAACCTGGGAACTTGTACCTCGATTGCCAACATACAATGTTGTTGGAAATAAATGGATGTTCAGACTTAAGCAAAATACAGACGGTTCAATACAAAGGTTCAAAGCCAGGCTTGTTGCGAAGGGATTTCATCAAACACCTAGTGTTGATTTCTATGAGACTTTTAGTCCTATGATTAAACCCTCAATGCTCAGAATTATAATCACCTTGGCAGTAACAAAGGGCTGGACAATCAGGCAGGTTGATATCAATAACGCCTTTTTTAATAGTGAGCTGAAGGAGACTGTGTTTATGAGTCGAGCTGAAGGATTCATGGATGAGTTAAGGCCTGATTATGTCTACAAGTTAAGGAAAGCACTCTATGGATTGAAACAGGCTCCTAGAACCTGGAATGAAAAGCTGAAGAACACATTCTTGG